TTTAGCATTTCTAATGTTTGAATGTGTAGCCAGACAAGATCACGCATCTCCAACATGAGACTTTAACCAGCAATTAAGCCATGTGGCTGCATCACCTTGCTAATTGAGGTCTTGGATGTTTATTAGAGGTTGTGTGTAATTGTATACACATTTCATTTGTACTTGTTTGTTCTGTTTTAATAACACAATTCCACAAATCCAGAATTCATAGATTCCTATCATTCAGATTAAAGGAACCTAAAACCCGATGATTAACCCTTTCTTCAACCACCTCACCACAGTTATAACTGACTCTCCACAGTGATTTACACAAACCATCAGAATCAGTATTCACTCTTTTTCAATTATTATTATTATTTCTCGCAATTCTACAATTCCCCTAGCAGACACTTTTATCTAAAGCACATACATCAGAGAGTAAGTAAACACAAACAAGGATCTATAAAAAGGAAACAATGTCAGTAAGAGCAAACAAACAGCTTTAAGTCTGATCAGACACACAGGGCTGACAGGCAAAGCACAACCTCAACAGCTTATTGTAACAATAAAAAATCAAGTACCTTAGTCACAGTGACACCATGATGATTTCAGATTTGAAGTTTACTGGAGTGACCAATTTTAACCAATCCAATATTTTCTAAAAAAAAGTCACTTGAGGGATGAATATGAAGATATTTAGGATTCATGCTCAGCTCTAAGGATGAAACGATGTCCCACTGCATCCATATGCTAAAATAATAGAAATCAGGTATATTAAATAAAATCAGGCTCACCTCTGACAGGCTGCCAGGGTTGAAAACTATTCATTCACCTGCACATCACCTGGAGCACAGAATCAGCTCAGGCTCCACACGGTGTCAGTAAAGGATTACACACACACACATACCCAAAGGAAAACTAAAGGGCAAAACATAAACCCACATTTTGGCTCCAACAATTTCTATAAAAACAAAGTATTCTTAAGTGTGTTCTTTTTGTAACATCATCACACATGTACTTTTATGTAGCCCCTTCTTTCCATCTGCAGCTGAAAACCTTTTCCACCACTTTACTATCAAGATGAGAATAATTATGTTCATGTAACGAAAACATGAAATTAAATGGAAACCTTGTTGTTTAATGTGTTTCTGATTTTACTTTACTCACTTGATGAGGCAGTTCAGGCTGATGTTTCTCTGAAGAGAAATAAAAAATAAAAGTTAATAAATCTTCACAAAACCTTAAAGGGCCATGCTTGACGTCAGCCTGAGATCAGAAATACAATATTTTATTATTTGACATAACAAAGGTCAGTGGCTAATGTTACAATGTTACAATTTCATTTAGCAGACGCAGACGAATAAATCTGGCATTAAACTGAAAAGTCCAGAGGTCTGTACTACGAAGCAGGATTTGGGGTTAGCGAGGTAACTTCAGGGTTAACCCTGGGTTTTCAGTCCTACGAAGGTGGTTCACTTCTAACCTGGGTATATCACCACGGTAACCTATGCTGCACATCTAACCTGCTGCACACCTAAAAATCTCCGCCACTGAACAGTCAGATCTCTTGATCTTGGAGCTCCCGCAGCTGATCGAGAGAGCGGAGGAGGGAGAGAGACCGACCAACACTTCATGTGTCCTGTATAATTTTACATTTGTCTTGAACTTCTTATTTTTTATTTAGTTCAGAGTTTGTTGGATATAACGATCTGCTGACGACAGACGCAGTGATGATTGTGATTGGTTAAATTAAGCTAACTCCGCCACTTTTATATGATTGGAAAAATTAACCCACTGGTATAAAACAGGTTTGTTATCTTGTGTAAACAAAATAATTTATTTGTGATCTCATTACTTTTGTTGTAATTGTGAAATATCAAATATCTTTAAACATAAATGTGTGTAATGTGGCAGTGTTTGTTTTCTTTCTCTCACCTTGAAGTCCTGAGTCTGTCCCCATCAGCCTCTCAACTAGATCAGTCCTGTTCATGTCCAATAAAACCTCTTTGGTCACCTCCACAGGATGCTGGTTCTTCACCATCAGATGCACCAGTTCATCTGGAGTTGTTGCCGACTTCATGTCGTGCCACTGGATTCGTGTAAAACTCCTCTGGAAGTATGTGAGCTGCAGCACCCACTTAAATTTCTCAAACTCCTCAAGTTTCAAACCACTCAATGTTTCTGAAAGAACATGTTCCACATCTTCCTTTACCGTCTAAAAATGTCAAAGACAATAAACAAATTAGTCATTTCTCCAATGGTAAAATCAAAAAGGAACATCTCTGGGGATTTAATCAGAGATGTAGGGAAGTTATCGGAATATTTTTCCCATGATCACTTGAGATTAATACAATAGGTAACATTTCTTTTGTTGGCTATGTTAACAGGATTTTTTTAAAAAACACATTGTTCTTAATGTTTGTATTTTGTGGTAGCAACATAACATAGAAGATCCCCTCTATCCCTTCACCCTTAAATCTCTGTTAAACTGAATACAACTACACGATTTAATGCAACATGTGAAATCTTCCACAGCACTTAACATGAAGCATTTCCTTTAAAACACCTGAAATACAGAACTCAAATACTACAGAGCTGAACTTTACAACCAATTATAGCCATTTGTTTTGGTTTGTATCATAATTTGCAATGTTCAAAGACTTGGATGTTTTTTAATCTGCATCAGACAAATCAGGCTGTGAAATGTAAAAAACGGACTCACTTTTTCAAAGACTGGAGGTTGATGCTCATCCACTGAGGAGAAAAGACATTTGTGACTACGACGATTATCTTATTTTAATGAGACGTTGATCTACTTTAATAAGGTTCAGCTGCTTTACAAGGTAACAACAACATAACCTAAAGAAATCAAATTCAACAAATGTATTAATCTTATTTATCAAAGATTTGTTTTGTTCTTATTTGTCTTACCTTTGGGTTCTGAGCTAGTCTCTGAAAACATCTGCATGAGATCAACTCTGTGCAACTTCTTTAAAATCTCTCTGGTCTCATCCACAGACTGTCGCCCGTAGGTCTGCACCATCACATCCAATATTTCTGTACAGTCGTTTAAGTATATAAATAAATGTGGGATGTCTTTGAAGTCCTTTTGAAAGGCTAACTGCAGAAACATTAATTTCTCGAGCTCCCCGTCATTTAAAGAACGCAGGATTTCCAAAAGCAGCTCTTTAACAGCTGCCATTGTTGCTGCCTGGAATAGTTAACACACTCATGAGACATTTGCTTAATCAACTAGGACAATTTTAAATGTGTCTCTTAAGGTGTTGAGCTGGGTGTTTCTGATAGATATACTTTTTATTATATTGATTATTGTTGAAGGAAAAAGTCAGAAAAAGATTATGTGCTGACATTTCATCTCATAAGCACTGTCAAAGATATTTATGAATCTGCTGCACAACATTACTGCTAAAACGCTCAACCTGAATAAAGCTTCAGCTTTGTGAAAAACAGATTAATTCAAATGTAATCATATTTCATCAAAATGTTCATGTTCATGTGTAAATCAGACAGATGTGAAGTGATTACTCACTTTCTCCAACAGGACAGAGCGTGGTTCATCTGAGCGTTTCTCTGAGGAAAAAAGTGGAAAAAATAACTCATGAGAGATTGATCTTAAACATGACAAAGATGTTATCAGGCAAATAGTTTAGTAATGATTTGTGAGGTACAACATAAGTCAAACAGATATATTGGTAAACCAACTGATAAGTCTTAATATCTGTGCACTATGAATCTTATTATAAATCATGTAACAGATACAGATGTAACTTAAACACTTGTGAAATAGGTTTAGAGACAGTTTTATGATTTTAAATTATCTTGGTCTTCATGGTCGTACTTTCGAAACTTGAGCTGGTCTCCAACAACTTCTGCACCAGATCAGTTCTGTTCATCTGCTTTAAAATCTTCATCGTCTTCAAAACAGAGTTTTGGCCAAAAGTCAAAACTGTAACACACGCAGTGTCCTGATGGTTTGTCTGCCACAGCAAATGAGGGTTGTATGAATTATAGGTTTCGTGGCCTTCATTTCTGATCAACTTCTTGAATTCCTCATACTGGTCTTCTGTTAGGCAAGCCATAATTTCCACAAGCAGTTCTATAACAGATGTCATCTTTTCCACCTGAAAAATTAAAAGAACATGTTCAAGGTGCAAAAAATGAGTACAGATATTTCTTTTCACATTTCATCAATTGTCTTTTTTAAGACTGACCAACGTACATCTGCCACATGAACAGTGGTTATCATACTATAGTTATGTTTACATTCAAGTACTTTACTTTTTTTACAAACAGCTTATATTTCTGCATTGAGTAACATACGGTTGTTACCTTTGATTTTCTTTTTTAAGATTTATTTTTGGGCTTTTTGTACATTTAATGGATAGACAGGACAGTGGATAGAGTCAGAAATCAGGGAGAGAGAGAGAGTGGGGAATGAGGGAAAGGAGCCACAGGTCGGATTTGAACCTGGGTCGCCCACTTGGAGGACCAAAGCCTCCATACATGGGGCGCTCGCACTAACCACTGCGTCCTACCTTTAATTTTCTATTAAGTTTTTGTTTAATTCTAATTCCATGGTGTACATGTGTCTAAATCTGTGCAATGAAAATCAGATAACTGTATGAATCTTCCAAGAGAGTGTCTGTTAAAGGGGCGGAGCAAGGGGTGGCCAGCCCAGGAGGGACCTATGTTTAAATCATCTTTTTGTGCTGATAGTAGTATGTGCACTTTCTTTGTATGTCAATGTAACACATTTCATTTTGCTAGTATTTTAAAGGCAGAAAATGCCATTTTTTTTGATCCAGCAGATGTCGCCTTTGAGCACCAGCATGAAACCAAAACAACTTGCGCTGCATTGTTGTGTTAGCATGCTAATGCTAGCGATTTTTATTATGATCGTATCTTCACACTGCATGTAAATTTACCTACATGATCTAGAAACGTAGTTAAGCAGTGAGTACAGTATGTTATTCTTCTTTTCTCTAGTCCCTCAATTAAACAACTTTTATACGCGAGGGGATGAGTCGGCCGGCCGTCCCGGCGATGTAAACAAACTGAAGATAGGACTCGGAAAACATCACAGACAGCGGGACTTGGGTGTTACACCCATTGTAGACAGTCATGACTCACAGAGTTATTTTCAGAGGATTGATTTCTGCTACATTTAAGTGTGAAAAATTGCATATTAAGCCTTTTAAGGAAGAATGTGTGATATTTTACACATAAATACAGCAGAAATCAAGTATATCCTGTAAATGTCTGTTTGAGTTGTGACTGTCTGCAATGAGTGAGAAGCTCGAGTCCTGCTGGCTGTGTTGTTGTCGGGGTTGTGTTTACATCATGTTCACATGGACGGGACGGCCTTGTGCATAAAGCTGTTTAAGTCGAGGTCGAGAGAAAAGAAGAAGAATTTACTCACTGCTTATTTGGATTTCAAGTAAGTGTGTTTAGTTCTCGGTCATTCTGTGTCAATTTATGTTTAATGTGAAGCTACGAGCTAAGTAAAGTGTGCTAACATTAGCCTGCTAACACAACAATGCAGACCACAGGCAAGTGCAGCTCGAGCAAAGGACAAGTTTGTCCGCCACTTGCACTTAGTGGTTGTTAATGCTTTGAATTGCCCCCGGGGACAAGTAACGTTTTTTTAATTTAATTCATTTTTTTTTTTGGTGTGTTCTAATTCCTAACCCCTTCATGGGAGGCGAGTGGAGAGGTGTCGTAGGTGTGCTGATGGAGGAGAGCAGAGGATTCAGAATGGCAGAGATGTTGCCAAACAGCAGTTTGTTTTGGTTTAATGCTGGTGCTCAAGGACGACATCTACTGGATAAAGAAAGTCGCACATTCATCCTTTAAATTGGATCTTCCTTTTCAGTGCTTAGAGAAATAAACTAAGATTTAAATGTTTTAATTTCTTTTTAAAGTAAAATAAATAAATAAATATTCAGGAATATAACATCATATAACATGTGATACTTAAATGTAAGGAGTTAAAGAAGATATGATTAGTGGAGATATGAAGGGAAAATAAATGCTATTGATTCAGTGTACTTTGCTTTATCAGCTCTTTGAGAAAATATTGATTAAAACAGGTCAATGTTACTTAAAGAATCATATTTTTGATCAGCATTAAATAATTAACGTTAGTTTTTGTACCTTTAATTGAAATGTTCGAGGTGGACTCTATAATAGTGACGCTGTGTGAAGTCAGAGTGATGTGACATACTCACCCTCTGGGTCAGTGAAAGCGGCTCTTCATCCATAGAGTGTTCTTCTGAGGAAAAAACAAATGCATCAGAAAACCAATTTTATTTCTATCCCTCTTCCTGCATCTCCCTCCCTCCCACTTTCCAAACCCAACACAGATTCAGCAGACGGCTGTTCATCATGAGTTTGGTTCAGCTCGAGGTTTCTGCTCTTAAAGGATTTTTTCCTTTCCACTGTAACTTTGCTAATTCAAATCAAAGGCACACAGAGCAGTAAATGTTTCTTGGTGCTCGTGATGGATTAATGTTGGGTCTTTGTAGATAATATAACAATGAGTAAGGTCAGTGTTTCCCCTACCATTATATTAGGGGGGTGGCCCGCCCCCCCAACGCCACCCCGACATAACAAAGGTCAGTGGCTAATGTTACAATTTTACAATTTCATTTAGCAGACGCAGACGAATAAATCTGGCATTAAACTGAAAAGTCCAGAGGTCTGTACTACGAAGCAGGATTTAGGGTTAGCGAGGTAACTTCAGGGTTAACCCTGGGTT